TTAGTAAGAAGTAGGTAGATCATCTTTCTGCCTCTAACAACTATGTGAAGGCCTCTGACTTGAGACGATGGTGACCGTGATCATATTCCTCTACTTAAGATGATTTTAGATGACATTTGATACAGAATGGCTTAATTATAAAAGCAATCCAGTCTCAAGGTAAAATATCTAACTTGAACAATTTATATTTCATATAAAACAAATATATTCTATATTTCATATAAAACAAATTCATAGCAAGATTTCTTATTTATTAAATGGCTTTCTTAAGTTATTTTATATTCAATTTTGTGTGTGTGTGTGTGTGTGTGAGAGAGAGAGAGAGAGAGAGAGAGAGAGAGAGAGAGAGAGAGAGAGAGGGGGGAAGGAGTCATGCCTCATTGGCAGATCACCTGCTTTGCATGCGAAAGATCCCAGATTTAATCTCCAGCATCACTCATGAAAAGAACCAGGTGTTAGGTGATACAAAATACCTCTGCTTGAGACTCTGAAGACATGAAGACATGTTATGAAGAGTAGATAACACAGTAGACAAATGGTATAGCATACCGAATCCGCTTTAAAGTGCTGGTGCTTACCTTTAAAGCCCTATATGGCCTGGGTCCGGCCTACCTGAGGGACCGCCTTTCCCCGTACATACCCCCAAGAGCACTTCGGTCGGGGACCCAGAACCGATTAGTAGTTCCGGGCCCCCGAGAAGTAAAGTTCGCTGCAACAAGAGCTAGATCTTTCTCAGTGGCGGCCCCTACCTGGTGGAATGAGCTCCCGGAGGAGATCAGGGCCGTGCGGGACCTTATGCAGTTCCGCAGGGCCTGTAAGACGGAGCTCTTCCACCAGGCTTTTACGTAGGGTGGTGATACTATCTAAGCTGGGAATGCCCCTGAAATTCAGTGAGACGAGATCTATGGGACAATGGGAACAGCGGACGGGCTCGAACTATCTATTGGACTGTGATACCCAACTATGGGTTGTTGGAAGCCGCCATTACAACAACTTAAGATTCTGTCTATGGAAGCACTTTATTGTCGATCGTAATGTGTTAATTTAATTTTATGGTTTTAGTGGTTATATGTATGGGCTTATGCCCCTTGTAAGCCGCCCTGAGCCCGCTCGCGGGGAGGGCGGGGTAAAAATGTCTAAAATAAATAAATAAATATAAGACAACCTCCTATGTGCTGTTAAAATGCTTCAGACTGAATGGGTTGGATTATAACCAGTTTATGGTGCCAATGGAAGAAACTCTTCCAACATGGAAATGTTTGTAGAACACTAGTTGCTTCAGAGGAATGTGAGGCACTAGTGGAACAGTCTAGTAGAATCCAACCCAATGTTCTGAATCAATTTCATTTATTTATTTATGCGTTTCTGCCCTGCTTTTCTTAGGATACTGGTACTGAAGGCAGTAAAAATACAATAAAAACCTAAGCAGCAGAAGAATGACTAATAGCACAAAACAGCAATCTCATTCTTTCAACCTAGTAGTACTGTGCTATGGGCTAGGGGTTTGAGAGCAGATATTGATCTGGCAGCCCCACCTCTTAGGATACTGGTACTGAAGGCAGTAAAAATACAATAAAAACCTAAGCAGCAGAAGAATGACTAATAGCACAAAACAGCAATCTCATTCTTTCAACCTAGTAGTACTGTGCTATGGGCTAGGGGTTTGAGAGCAGATATTGATCTGGCAGCCCCACTGCTGTCAGGGAGCATGAGGGTCAAGGAGAAACAGGGCACCGTGCTGAGGATAAGGGGAATGTGCCCTCAGAAGGGACCTCTTCCCCAGCTGGTGAGCGGTTATCCTTTTGCACCAAGGAACCATCCCTGGGCAGGGTGGGAGGGGGGCTCTTGGTAGTGGGTGATTCGATCCTTAGGCAGGTAGACAGCTGGGTGGCGAACCCGCGTACTGACCGTATGGTGACTTGCCTGCCTGGTGCAAAGGTAGCGGACATTACGCGTGTTTTAGATAGGCTGGTAGATAGTGCTGGGGAGGAGCCAGTGGTCGTGGTGCATGTCGGCACCAACGATGTGGGGAAATGCAGTCGTGAGGTCCTGGAGGAGAAATTTAGGCTGCTGGGCAGGAAACTCAAGGCCAGGACCTCCAAGGTAGCCTTCTCAGAAGTGCTACCTGTTCCACGCGCAGGGCCGGAGAGACAGGCACAGATCAGGAGTCTCAATGCGTGGATGAGACGATGGTGTAGGGGGGAAGGGTTCAGGTTTGTTAGGCACTGGGATGCTTTTTGGAACAAGAGGGAGCTGTACAGGCGAGATGGTCTCCACTTGTCCCAAGAAGGAACCAGGCTGCTGGCGCTTAAAATCAAAAAGGTGGCAGAGCAGTTTTTAAACTGAATATTGGGGGAAAGCAGACAGGAGATGAAAAGTCTCTGGTTCGGGTTGGCTCATCTCAGAGAGATGAGGGGGTACCTGTTGCTTTTCTACAGGGAGGTGGATTGAAATTGTCCACTGAGACCATGGCTAGTGACATGGACTGCCTGACAAGGTCTCGAGATTGCAAGAGGAAGGTGGCAGGCTTAACCAGTATGGGAAATTACAGCTGTTTCTATACAAATGCTCGAAGTGTCCGAGGTAAAATCGGGGAGTTGGAGTGCTTGGTGTCAGAGGGAAAAATAGACATTGTGGGTATTTCAGAAACTTGGTGGGATGAGGAAAATCAGTGGGATACGGTGATTCCCGGTTATATATTATATCGGAAGGATAGGGGGGGAAGGGTTGGAGGTGGGGTGGCTCTGTATGTCAGAGAGGGTATAAAGTCCAGAAAGATCGAGAGGCTAAGAGAATTGGATTCGCTTCTTGAAGTTCTGTGGGTTGAAATAGGGGGGCCAAAAGGAAACTTAACACTGGGAGTTTGTTATCGCCCACCGGATCAAAAGATAGAGGAGGATTATAAAATGATGAATGAATTAAAGATAGCAGCTAGACAAAAACACTGTGTCGTAATAGGTGATTTTAACTACCCACACATTGATTGGGTCAATATGTGTTCTAGTCGAGAGAAAGAGATTGAGTTTCTAGACACTCTAAATGACTGTGCTATGGAGCAGATGGTCATGGAACCTACCAGGGGAGAGGCGATCCTTGATTTGGTCCTAAGTAACACTCAAGACCTGGTGAGAGATGTAAAAGTGATTGCACCGCTTGGGAACAGTGATCATAATGTTGTTGAGTTCAACATTTGTACAAATAGGGAATTGGCCAAAAAGACTCACACAACCACTTTTAACTTTAAAAGGGGTAATTTTTCTGATATGAGGGGACATGTGGGGAGGAAACTGAAGGGAAAAGTAGAAAGGGTCAAAACCATTGGGGAAGCTTGGAAACTGTTTAAAACTACAATTCTAGAAGCTCAAATAAAATATATTCCGCAGGTTAGGAAAGGCACAAACAGGTATAAGAAAAAGCCTACATGGTTAACAAACAAAGTAATGGAAGCTGTAAAAGGTAAAAAGGATTCCTTTAAGCGGTGGAAAGCTAGTCACAGTGAGGCTGATAAAACAGAACACAGGCTATGGCAAATAAAATGCAAGTCTGTGGTCAGGCATGCAAAAAGGGAATATGAGGAGCATATAGCAAAAAATGTAAAGACCAACAATAAAACTTTCTTCAAATACATTAGAAACAGGAAACCAGCCAGGGAGGCAGTGGGGCCCTTGGATGACCAAGGGGTAAAAGGAGTACTGAAGGATGATAGGGAAATGGCTGAGAAGCTAAATGCATTTTTTGCCTCCGTCTTCACTGTGGAAGATGAGAGGTGCTTGCCCACTCCAGAGCCGCTGAGTTCGGGAGGGGTGTTGAAAGACCTGAGTCAGATTGAGGTGACGAGAGAGGAGGTCCTAAAACTGATAAACAACTTAAAAACTGATAAATCACCAGGCCCAGATGGCATACATCCAAGAGTTCTGAAAGAACTCAATTGTGAACTTGTGGATCTCCTGACAAAAATATGTAATCTCTCCTTAAAATCAGCCTCCATTCCTGAGGACTGGAAGGTAGCTAATGTCACTCCCATCTTTAAAAAGGGTTCCAGAGGAGATCCGGGAAATTACAGGCCTGTCAGTCTGACGTCGATACCGGGTAAATTGGTGGAAACCATTATTAAGGAAAGAATTAGTAGGCACATAGATGAACAAAACCTATTGAGGCAGACTCAACATGGGTTCTGTAAGGGAAGATCTTGTCTCACTAACCTGTTAATGTTCTTTGAGGGGGTGAACAAACATGTGGACAAGGGGGATCCAATAGATATTGTTTACCTTGACTTCCAGAAAGCTTTTGATAAAGTTCCTCATCAAAGGCTCCTAAGCAAGCTCAAAAATCATGGGATAAAAGGACAAGTCCTTTTATGGATCAAAAACTGGCTAATTAATAGAAAACAGAGAGTGAGTATAAATGGGCAGTTCTCCCAGTGGAGGGGTGTAAGCAGTGGGGTACCACAGGGATCAGTACTTGGTCCACTGCTTTTTAACTTGTTCATTAATGATTTGGAGTTGGGAGTAAGCAGTGAAGTGGCTAAATTTGCGGATGAAGCATGGACAGCTTCCAAAGGGAATTAGATAAGCATATGGAGCAGAGGTCCATCAGTGGCTATTAGCCACAAGGTATAGATAGGGGCTCTGGGGCAAGTGATGCTCTGTCTTCTTGGTGCTTGGGGGGGTCAACAGCCGCCCTGAGCCCATCAGGGAGGGCAGGATATA